TATTACGTCCTTCTGGCGTTGCGTTCGGTGAAGTCTTTTTCATATTCCGTATCTTGTTTAATGAAAACTTGTTTAAGGGTCTAATTTTAGTTACCGAAGGCTAGTTCAAATAAAGAAAGCTGTATTTTCTCCCCACTGTTCCTTCAATTGCTTACACGCCGAGGTGGCGGGATAGTTAGCGAGTTCTACTTGTAAGTGGGTTTGTAAGGAGGTCGCGGATTTTACAGCTACTGCGTCGGACCCAATTAGATGAAGTCCGAATGCGTAAACGTCGGTGAGGTAACCTTTGAGTGCACATAAAGAAACCATTCCTGGTAGGAGTCCCTGAGCCTTACACTACGATGTATCCCGTTTCGTATGCGCTGATTTCAGATGTATTATTTGTAATTTATTTTGATGTTGCAATTTGTCATTTATAATTTCCGAACCGGTTCGCGAACCGGTTCGCGGATCGAATTAATCGAATCGGAACTGAACCGGAATAAAATAAATTTACCTGAACCTGAACCGTAACCGAACCCGTATTTTTTTCGGTTCGACACACTGATTTATAAGAAATGTTTATAAGGTCAAATACAATGTCTTGTTTTTTCAGTGGTTCACTTTTCTAGTCGTAAAACATCATTAGTTCAGGCTTGTCACTACTAAACCTGAGGCACAAGACGTCACATATCCCAGCTAGTTTGTGCAATGTTCTTCAAATATTTTCCACGAGTTTTGTATACTATGACCCCATTCGAAATGGCGCCCTCCGTTGGAAGCTGTGTAATCCCTGCAGAATAGCGGAGATAGGCGCAAACTTTGTGCGTTTTTTTTTAAAGACTGGAGCGTGTTGGGGATCTACATTGACTTAAAACGAAAGAAACACACAAGAGGACAAAACAGACGACACAGTTTGATTGCACTTCGGGTGCACGAACCCGCGTGCAACAGGAGCAAAGTCGGAACTACCCAATGGCTTCACTGGCCGTCAATTGCACGATCTGCGATGTCGCTTGCCGAATTAAACGTTTGATTGCACTTCGGATGCACGACCCCGGGTGCAACAGGAGCAAACGTCGGAACTACCCAATGGCATCACTGGGCGTTACTTGCACTATCTGCGATGTCGTTTGCCGAATTAAATGCTAGAGCAGCTAAAAAGTACCATTTCATAAGCTTTCCCGTTGGCGCAATGGGCTCGCAATCTCGGGGTAAATACACGCCGAAATACGCGTCGCCGTATTTCGGCGTGGCGTATCCGGAAGTGTACGGCACGGTGTCTGCCAATCAGCTCCCGAGTTGAGAGCCGGAAGCTGCTCGAGAATCGGCTTGCATGGGCTATGCGGACGGCTGGCTGGCTTGACTCAGCCGCCGAAATGGGAGCTCGCTTGTCGCGTTCGCTGTTTTATCGGTGAACTGTACGAAATCGCCATATCTCTTCGGAACGAGCGATGAACTACCGAGACAAATGAAAATACTATCGATGTGGCGGGCGATGTTAAAAAAAAGTACAAAAGGAAGGGTTTTGAGCAGAGATCGCGGCTGTCCTTCTGCAGGGAGTTTTTGGCAACTTGACGCTTGCAGCGAACATTTATGAAACAGGTGTTAGCAAATTAGGTTTTGGTTGATTATTAACATTCAGTTATTTCTGTCCTCTTGCGGAACGTAATAATATAGCAGCCGATCTACATTTTGCCTCCTTTCATGAAAAGCGCAAGTCGGGCTACACTGCACCAAACACTGAGGAAACGTCGATGAATAGCTTCGTGTGTGGCTTGGCGACCTTCCCCTCTTCCCTTCTGTGAAAAAAGCGCTCACCAAATCCCGTGATTAGGCCCGCTGATATGCGCGTAAATTCGTCGAGATTACGCCCTATATGTGGGTCGGCCTTAAACCGATCACGCAGGGTGAATGTGGCGTGGTCCGGCGCTTTTCTTTTGTGCCCCAGTCGTTCAGCCGGTCATAACAAACGCACGAAGACGACAAACGCCGTGACGATGCACATTAGGCGCTGCTTGGTTGGCGCCATCAGATCGCAGGGTTGGCTGTGGCCCAACTTAATGTGCAACGAAATATATATAGTCAAACGAAAAACCAACTGACCAGTGGGACTCGAACCCGGTTGTCCAGCATGGGAGCCGCGTGCGCTGCATACGTGGCCATGCGCTTTTTCTTCTCCAAACCATATTTAATAACCACCACTTTACGAATCTCCACCTTGGCACAGTAGTGGGTCGTCAGGCTCAAGGTATTTGTGCCAGGTGTTCGACTTTCCTCAGCGGACGTCGAGAATTTTTATATTTGTTGTCAATGTGTCGCCTTATCACTCTCCCGCTCGTGTGAATTTGTTTGGATGATTATAAATAGTAGGACGGACACAAAGGTGAGTCGGGTTTGGAAGGGCCGAGGAATGATTTGTCACTTCACGCCCACACGCGCAGATAGTCGTGTTAGGCCGGTAAGACTCTGACGAAACAACTAAAGCGACACTGAAACGCTTGGAGTTCGTCACATTGTAACCAGGAGAGATGGCGCCGTCTCTATTGTCTTTGGGAACGTCAAGTTAAAAGGAAACTCTGTTCGAAAACGAGACGAATATGAATGACTGCTATATCACTTTAGTGGCACAAAATATGATCACAGCCGAATTATTATGTCAAAGTGAAGCCGCGTACTTCACAAAAACCGATTTTGAAGACGCGACCAGCTGCTCTTTAGCGGGTGGAAAGCGGGTTAGCTTTTAGTCAAGCAACACTGGGCAACGCGTTCAGCAGTACCATCATGACGTCACGTCACGGCCGTACAGCTGATTATGCAGAAGATCAGTGTTGTCATCCCTCTCTAGCAGATAATTTCGGTTTTGCTGTAGACGGCCGAAATCAAACTTTGAGCCCCGTGATATCTATAAAACTACACACAATATCGAAGAAAATAATTATATCTTGTATTCAAGGACGCTGCCTGGGCTGAAAATAGTCTTAATCTAAAGTTCAAAAATATTGACCGGAGTTGCCCTTCAAAGAGGTTACCCTTACACGGAAGAGCCACAAGGCTCAACTGGTCGTTGTTTGCTACAACTGAGGTTATTTTTATGTTTAGAACAATTAGTCTGCTTCAAAAGAATACCATTACGGAAAGTATTTTTTATCAAAGTTTAAAGCCCAAACAACCATATTGTTTAAAAAAAATACTCCTTACTTTTAAACAATGTTTTCGCATGCAAAGTAGAGCTTCAAGATCCTGCCATATTTTGGAATTATTTTAAAAACCAACAAAGATACAAACGAACCAACCTAACGAAGAATCAAACTATACTCTCAAGGATGTAATAAAATGAAAAACAAAGCCTACCTGCTAAAATTTTATCTGAGAAAACGTAGATATCTTATAATAAATTTTTAGATATCATCATACTGACGTGAAGATAACGACGAAATGACTGGCACTAGGCTTCTAATGTGTTTGTATTGAGCTCTTAGGTTTAAACTAAACTTAGTTATGCCGCTTTCGATTTCTAGAAAAGAGACATTTTGAAGATATACAAGAAATTATGTCTGCACTTTTTTATTTTTTTTAAAGACATGAATTTCAAATTGGTCGAGTCCTTGATTTATTTTTTTAATAAAATCTGAAGATGACTTAGTGCATCCAAAGCCCAAAACCACAGATTACGTAGAGGGCTTCAGAAATATCAAAACCTCACATTTTTTGTTAAATGGAAGTTACGTATTAAAAAATTATTATCACACTCTTCACCAAGAAAACGGAGATGATTTGGTCATTGATTTGCTATAAGAACGAAAAGCGGGACTTGGATGCCGATTCTATACATGAGCCGTGAACAAAAGCCTGAGAATCCACTGCCGCAACGGCCGTGGATATTTTCAGAATACGCAGGCTTTACTCTTTTCGGTATGCTTTTTATTACCTATAAATTCAGAATGGCAAAATTGAAAAAAAAACAAAAAAAAACGGCAATGAAAGGGGTGATTAAACTAGCATTCAAATGTTCCCGCGCTCTCCAGTAGAGTCACGTTATCTCTGTAACTTGCAAGCCGAGCTGGCAGTTTAAAAACGGCATTTCGTGCACGTTCTTTTTTTCGCTTTTCTGGCATAAACTTAGCCATCATTTATTTCACCCCATCAAACTTCCCGTTGAGAACACGCTGTACTGCATCCCCGTATATCTCCATGTCACATCACATGACGTAATGTTTTTACTGTTTCCAGTAGAGCCTCTCAGCCCCTCAAATGAAAGTTAAAACCTAAATACAGTCGTGAAAAAAAAAAGATTTGTAATATAGGTTACTAATATATATGTGCATTTTCATGTGTTGAAGCAATGTTGAGACGAATCGGTGACTATACTTTTCAGCATAGGTCCGAGCGCGGCCGATGTTACGAGTAAGGGCCAATCAAAGAGCGAAAGAGGCACAACGTCATGGCGTGATCTTTGTGGTTGATAGGACCAGCCGGTATTCGCCGTCTCACCGTGCGTGCTCCTCCGCCGGCTAGTCTTATCAAGCGCAGAGAGCACGCCATGAAGTTACGCCTTTTGCGCTGTTTGATTGGCCCTTTGGCTCACGACATCGGCTGCGCTCGGACCTAACGTGAAACGACATATAGCAAACTTTCGCCGGAGTGGTGCTTCGACGTAAGGCACATTCTCACATAGGAACAAAAAATAAAGTTAACATACCAAATTGTAACCTCCCCCCCCCCCCCCCCCCCCCTGGCACGTCCCCGCACGTGGAAGTTGCGGAACGTTTTTTATCCGTGCATTTTAGGTTTTCTTTTTGCTTCGCTTTTCCTCGCAGGAAATGCTTAAGAATACCCCGAAGGGCAACAAAGAAGTCCATTGCCTCGGGGTGACGCGAGTTGTTTTGAATTACGACTGGAGAGCTAACGCGCTTTCAAACCGGTCCTGGCGCCTCATTATCACCGACTTCCTTTGGAGCATCCGACGAATAAAGGCCGACCATCGAGACGACCTTCTGTGTCGACTGCACTCCGTCAACATGAAGGGCTGCGCGCTGTTTTTTGCTGGAGTGGTGCTCTTGGGACTCCTCGCCTCTCGGGCGGAGGCCGGATGCCCCAGCAACAGGGGGATCTCCAGCGACTGTTCCTTCACCACTTGCTCCGAGCAAGAGTGCGCCGCCCAAGGCTTGGAGTGCTGTCCCAAACCCTGCGGGGGATCCTGGTGTGTCAAGGGTGAACTTTCTTCACAATGATTCTGTTTTCCATTTGGCCTGCGGGGAATACTTCGTCCTTAATACCTTCTCTTCTTGGGACGCTCTTGTTTTAATCTATGTATATGTACCGCGTGTTTTTAAAAAAAGAGAAACGTGTTTTTTTTTTTTTTTTTTGACCGCTAAAATAAATTGCGCATCGCAGAAAGCAGAAACTCCGCGAAAATGGGACGCTAGTGGTGGTGATAGAAGACGAACTTTTTGAAAGCGTGACGTTACTTGGATCAGAAGATAAAAGAGAAGGACAAAATTACTTTATGAGCCGATGTACACCAAAGCCTGATTTGGTCGAAACAAAAACAAATTGAATTGTGGACATCTGTGATGCTTACTTTAGCGAAAAAAAGAAAAAAAAAAACGAAAATTATTGTCAGTAAAAAAGACAGCAATATTCTCTTTCTCAGCTGTCAAATGCTTTTTACTGATCCAAATTCCACAAGCCTTCACATAATAATTTCGTGTTTCGACGAATAGGCATAGGTGGACGTCGGCTCATAGACGAATATTATCGAGTCTATGTAATCATTTGATTTAGGCAGTGTCATGTTCCGACACTTTAGTGTTCTATCACCATCATATTCTCGCGAAGTTTCAGCTTTCTGGGGTAGCTCGTTTATTTACGAGAGCTGAGAAACACTGTTTTATTTTCTCCGAAATACTTGTCGGAATATCTACGTGCATGTGTAGCCTTTATTAAGCTATACTGTAGCGTGTACATTTATTCAACGATATGTGCAGTAGTCATACATTTTGCGGAGTTTTATGTGTATATCGATAACGTTCCTTCTGTGCGAGTTTTTTTTTTTTCATGTTTGTTTTTACATTTTATACTCTGAAATCCTTCATTGCCACTTAGCGGATGGAAAGATATTCATGAGATTAATCAATGCTAATCGCAGATATTACAGATATTAATTTGTTTTTAAATAAACATCTAAATTATTCCCGCCCTTTGATGGGCCGAATTGCAAGGACAGATTTTATTTGCCGGTCAAGAACACAGTTTTAATACTGCACCTTATTAATTATCTGTAAATGTTCCTGAAGGGTACGTATCAGAATTTTGTGCACATGAAACATAAGGGTCAAACGTTCGGTCTGTCAACCTGTTGATTAAATTTTGTTCTTGATGTATGTTAAAAAAACTGTCCGAACGTTTTCTTTTTGTTTTGTTTTTTGTTGCCTTTGAGAGTACGGGAGCACAGCTTAAGTGCCTGAAGCTCGTCGTTTTTGGCTGGTGTGTTACCGTCTTTCCTGGACCATGCATCTCATGTGATTCCAAAATAACATCAAATGACGTCACCAAAGTGGCCTGCATGGTATGTTGTTAGATGTCGCTGTTCTGGCGGTCGTAGAAGTTCCAGAAAAATGTACGAGAAAACGCGAGTGTCGCTGTCGTCGCGGCGTCCCGACTCCGGGCTGGGGCCCTAATCTGGACACTTGGCGGAAAAGTCGGCGAGAAATTCGGCGGCTATGATTGGCCGGCGACAAGGCCAAGTGTGGCGTTGGCCAATCGCGGCCGCCAGATTTCTCGCCGTCTTCCTCGGCAAGCGTCCAGCTTAGGGCCCCTGGTGTAGCTTCCATAGACTGTCAAGCTGGAAAGCGACCTGCAGCAGAACCGGCGCCTGCCGCACCCATATACGCTCTAGCGGCACCGCCAGGACACTACAGCCAGTGCACATGACACTTCTACGAGCTCGTCAGGCGAAAATCGAGGGACCGCATTTTAAAACGCGCTAAACACACCAAAAACGCGCTCCTGCAGGCACCGCAGTACTGCAGAGGAACCAACGGTGGCATTTTTGTTTTCTTTCGGCAGGTGTCAGTGACGGTGAGCGTCGAGTACCGTCCCCGACGGTCTCGGCCTGCCCCGAAAAGCCCCTTCCCCCACCCAGGGGCGGTTGCAAGGGCGGGCGTTCAAGCGTCACGTGCGCCGACTTCCACTGCGGTGACCAACCCTGTTGCGTGGACGGCTGCGGAAAGCCCTACTGCCTTCCGGAGCTGATATTTTTGAAGTATGTTGTCAAAGGCTGGTTAGCCTTCGTGTTTTTGTTTGTTTTTCTTCACTGATGGGACGTGTGCTGCAGTTTGACATCTCAAAGGACGTGATTTCTCATTAACACTGTTTACGAAGCATTTTTATCACTCAACATAAACTTTCTTTCTTAAACTTTTTTTGTGTAAAAAACGAAAAAAACAACAAAAAACCTGCACAGTATACTGCAATAATGCTCCATCCTTCATTAGTGTGTGTATGTTTTGAAAAGGTCAAGCTAGTCAGCCTGTCGGCGTCTGGCAGTTCCGCTGTAGATAAGAATTGTTTTCCACCACAGCAGGATTACGAGACAACTCTCATTTTATTACTTGTTATTACCTATTTTCCGGGCACCCGGTGTATAGCCCGCAGGGGCCAATTTAGGCCGCAAATAAAAGGTTTTGCTTGGACAGTCTGCACCCTGAGCCTAATCCGCACCGGGTGCTTACTCGACAAGAAAATATTTTCATACACGGCACACCTTCACATATGTCTGCTCTCTTAGCTCACAAACAGCTTGTAGTATGCAAAAATCATCATTAACATATTCTTTCATTCATATTCTGTTACATCTCGTCGACATGGACGATCTTGGAAAACAAAAATTCCTGTCTAGTCCGCACGCGTAGATTGTCCGCACGGCCAGAAAATTTATTTTTTAAACACGTATAGTCCGCGGAATATAGACCCGGAAAATACGGTACTTAAAATGCTTAAAGGACTTGATCGATAACATTGAAACTCGCACGCATCATGGTTTGAAACAATTTAACTACTAGTGCTGAGCAGCCCGCTTTTTCGCAATATTTGTGACGCTTAAAACATTGAATGACTTACCATACTTCGTAATGTGATATGTCATGAAATAATATCGTTGGCCTCTGATCTTCTCATGGCACCACTGTGTACGCCTTCGTAGTTATGCAATAGGTATGATCACTAGGCAGTGTGCCGAGTCCCCACACTGGTTTTCAGCATGTAATAATTGGGCGTCTGAGTAATCACCTTGAAACTTAAAATATTTCTCTCTAATAGCGCACTGCTGCATGCCATTGGCCAATCGGAACTCTCTAACCCATGTTTACAACAGAGTTCGTAGTGAACGGCGGAATGTGCGACGATTTATAGGGAGGTGTCTTGAAGCGTCTCCGTTTCAAGGGCACCACCCAAGACTAATCTAAACTTCACGCGTATCATGAATAAGTTCAAGGCCGAAGCTACGGTAATTGAGCGGTCGTATTCAAACTATACGATACACAATTTATAAAGTAAGAGCGCTGTATCATTTTACGTATTTGCTTCAAGCTAGTGATATGCGAATGGTGGTTCAAGTAGAACCGAGCTGTGTTATCAATAGTCATTACAGTGCAAGGGAAAGCCATAACAAGAGGTTCGCTTAACAGTTTTGAAGATCGCGCTTTCCAATTCGAATCAATGTTCGCACAAACCCTTTTTAAATGCATTGCGCCACTCGTGCATATACCGGTGCACACTGACAGCCTGATGAGATTTCAATATTTTATTCGGACCTATTTCTACCCCATCTCAAAACGTCTAGGCCTATACAGTGGCGTCACAAGGGGGTGCGGGGGGGGGGGGGGGGGGGGGGGGGGGCGGATTGCCCCGGGTGCAGCACTCGGTGGGGTGTCGCGGCGGGCGACGAGAGGGGGGGAGGTCGCTGCGGGCCACGCGAGAGCAGGGGGTGGGGCGGGAGGCGGGGGGGGGGGGGGGGGGTCGAAACGGGGCACGCGAGAGAGGGCGGGGGGGGGGGGGGGGGTGCCTTGGCAGGCCAGCGCCCCGGGTGCCGCTTACCCTAGTGACGCCACAGGGTCTATAAACTAAACATTTCTGCGTGTCTATTTCCCGGTAGAAAACAAAGAGCACCTTGATCTATAAAGAAAGGTCGGCGAATGACACGTCCGAGAAAATATTTCGCACTTTTGCAACGACATTTATTATGCTCAGACTATGACCAGCGTGACACGCAAGTCCTAACTTGAAATGTCACAAAGTTTTTATCACTTCTATTTTGTCAGGAGCTCCATCCAGATTGTGGTAAATAACATTTTTTTATATTACAAAAGAATTCAAGTTTGAGTGTTTTTTTATATTTTTATAAATCGGTATGGCGATGGACGTATAGTGAATATTGCTGCACTTATGCTGTCCTAACTTTGGTTTTCGTTTCACAGGGATTGACGCTGGACCGGTGAAATCGAGAACCACGATCTTAGTGCTTCCGACAAAGGTTCCTCAGGAGACCTAAAGCACAAATCATGACAAGACATGCTGCAGCAAACCCTCGAAACAATATCTGACATAAGCCAATAAAACGTAAATTATTTTTAAAGCGCACCACGCTTTCTTTTTCTTTTGGGCGTTATTATGTTTTTGGGCCCGTAGCTTTGGCTACGTCGCCCAAGAAATATGTCCACGAGTATATTTACTTTAAGTACAAAGTCACGTTGCTCCATTCGCCGCCTCTCTTTCGTGCTGTGTCTATGTTAGAAACAGCAACGCGATGTTCCGTTAATTTCGACTTGTTGGTACTTAACTTGTTAAGCAACTTCCAATCAATTTATCAATTGGTTTCGCTGCCTTGCGTTTACGCTACTAAAACCTATAATTGTATTTCCAATAGTGCGGGCGAGCTCTTCAACTTAATAAGTTCAGCCACGGCATAACGCGGCGTAGCAATCACCTATTTTACCTCATGGATAACCCGTTGAAAATGATAAAGGCTTTTGCTTTACCTGCAGTGAGCACGGCAACTATTTTAAAATGCAATTATTTAGTGTGTTTTTTTAACTGACAAGTGGAAGACCAAGTTATAATATCGGTCACTTGGATAATGCCCCATAAAAATAAATTATATATGCCTTTTGTGTGTTGATTCCTCTGGGAGTTTGTCCTCTGCAACCCTCTGGAGAATATGGCAGTGGAGCACCTACCTGAGTTTTCAAGACACGGCGTGTTATTCTTTTATGACACCCGTGGTAAGCTTTATCTCGCACATAGACAGCAATGATTATTCGCATGCCTAATCATTCCAGTTCCAATATAAATAAAAATCAAATCAATTCAAAAAATTTCTTTTCCCCTTAAACAAAATGGGGGGAGGTCGAGGAATCTTGAATCACCGGGGGCGTTTTCAATTCACTGGCAGACGACTTCTCCGGAGATATATCTCAAGTGCGGATGTGCTGCGTTTTCGCACGTGGCAAGGAGGAAAACTGGCGGAAATGCGGAGAAGTTTGCAGACGATCCACGCTTTCGGCACCTCCTCGCAGCTCGTATTGCACCATGACCATGTGGCCCCAAACAAACAGTTGGACACTGTAATGTAGGCTCTCTGTAGATGTCCTTTATGCACAGTGATGCCCTCTGGTTGAAACAAAGTTTACCACGATGCTGAATATTATGAAACTGAGGAAAGAAAACCCTAGACATTCGGAAGTGAACGCGAGAGGTAAAGAAAATAGAGAAACATTGTCTCATAAAAAGTTAACTTCGTATATTATTTTTTTTGTTGTCTTTTTCATTATTCAATGTGTTTCGGTTTATGTACCCCAGTCTTGGATATTTAACATCAAGGTTACAGGAAATGATGAATTTGTACCCAGAATCAATGCTGCTTCAAAGAAAGCAAAAAACGATCATTGGTCTGTATTTTGCCCAATTTACACACGCATACTGCCACAAGTGTTCCACAAATGTTCTGCGGCAGCAACGCTACTGAGCCACAGGCTTCTTTGTCCCGGTGTAATTTCAGGGATAGAAGCGGAGTATGTTTTCCTATTTCTCTCCGTTTTACACAACCAACTCGCGTCTCATAATACGGTTAGAAGTTTCCCCAAAGTAGCAGACCACACCGTGATGCCCGTAGAGGAAGTTAATGTAAAGGGCTGATATTTTTAATTGTGCTCGAACAATCGGGTAGAAGTATACTGGCGAAACTACACCGCATAAAGCTCTTAACTTCAATCTTACACACAAACGTGAAAATTGCCAAACACACCAGAGCCCCTTTTTCTACTTTTATTTTGAGTGCGAAAGCATTAAAGGGGCAGTCAAGTGGTTTTTGAGTTCGTGTTTTGATAATGACAGCTGAATTTAGACGCCTTAAGTATCCCTAAAAACCAAAAAGTATAGTCATACGGTGATTATTTCTTTAATAAAAATGTAATTGAAGGCCGCCAAACCTCGGATCCATCCGAAAACGAAACCACTCTCATTGGTCGTCGCACGCTTATCAAAAGAATCTCGGGCCAATGGCGTTGGACGACGTTCTGTCGCGCAGTGATCCCGAGGTAGCCGCATCGGCCGAACCTCTTTGTCATTCGAGCTTCGATCATGGCGGAGTTCTCTACGCTCGAGGACCTGACGCCGTTAGAGGTTGAAGTTCTTCGGCGGACAGCCGACCTGGGATGATTTCCTATGACGCCACTCCGACGTGCGATGTGGACGATAGCAGCGCTTCGGAGTCATGTTCGGGTTCCGAGGACGACGAAACGCAGACCTTTTCGGGCGGTCTTCGATTTGAAGTTGGGGCAAGTCGTAACCAAACCAACGTTTGACATCGCAGCGTTACCTCTGCAGTACGTGATGTCAAACGATGTCGCCACGTTGACTTTCGCCTCGGGAGAACGGGGGGAAGGCTGGTTCAGACATGTGCAACGAGCGCGTACCTACGGCTGCGTCCGTTGCAACCGGAGCGACCGGAACGACCGCACTGCGCCGCGCGGACACACACCTGTAACCACTACAACAAGCGCAGCGGGTCGTCAGCACGGCGACCGCTTCTGTACGCCGCCGTCAGCTGTGTCAGCGGCCCCTCTAAAAAAGGGGACGCGCTGCTACTCAATGCCGTAACAGAATATAGACAGACAGTTTTCTAGTCTAAAGCTTTATTATTTTTTCTCGATAGTCTTGCAGGGTGCAACAAGGCGGTAAGTTGGGCTAGTTGGTTTAACATCGTCAAACGTGAAAACAGCGCAAAAAATTGAACAAAGGACAAGTGAAAGGAGTGCACGGACAAAGCGCTGACTGTCAACTAAAGTTTAATTTTCAGGCGAACCAGAAAAATAAACACAGAGCATAGGAAAGAACCAATAAAGACACAAAAAATTTACAACCAAACCGACAAGATTTCTACCACGTCATCACCCTGACACATGCCTGCCATTCTCCCTGATAAGGAAAAAAGGACCTCACCATCCCCCAAGTGCACCGTCGGTGCAATTGGGGGATGGTGAGGTCCTTTTTATCAGGGAGAATGGCAGGCATGTGTGAGGGTGATGACGTGGTAGAAATCTTGTCGGTTTGGTTGTAAATGTTTTGTGTCTTTATTGGTTCTTTCCTATGCTCTGTGTTTATTTTTCTGGTTCGCCTGAAAATTAAACTTTAGTTGACAGTCAGCGCTTTGTCCGTGCACTCCTTTCACTTGTCCTTTGTTCAATTTTTTGCGCTGTTTTCACGTTTGACGTTGCAGGGTACAGCGAATGAAAAAAATAAAATAAAAAGATGCAGCGCCGTCTTGGACGATCACGACTCTAATACACGACATTGCAATCGTACAAATATCGCCACACGCCTTTTCTACGATTATAAAAGACAATGTAATCTTAGCAGCGATATAGCAACATATAAATATGATTTCGTGATCAGATACACGTTGCGAGCGTTCAAAATTGCTAACACTAATTGTGACAAGCATGTAGCGCCCTCTCCCGTCCACCCGCCGATGGCCGCCAGCCTCGGTGGGCAACATTGTTCACCACACGAATAAACACCGTTGAGCACACGTGCTCCGGTCAGTCATCGTCCACCCTCAACCAGGCTGCGTGTCGTCTCTCCTCGGCGGGTGCTTCGGCCCCCTTCGTCCACGTTCCAGAAAGATCGTGACACTGGCGACGAGGAACCGTGGCACTGGAGGCTACCAAAGTGCACGGTTCGGCCCACGCCGCCGAGAGAGTCGCAACACCGCCGCCCGCTCCTGTCGCCATGCCGCTCTACGGGAGGCTCGAGCCGTTCGACGGGGATGGGTCCGCCTGGCCAGTCTACGAAGAAGAAGTCCACGTGTTCTTCCGGGCGAACGACACGCCGGAGGCGAAACAACGGGACATCTTCTTGGCCAGCTGCGGGACCCGTGTCTTCAGCCTCCTGCTCGACCTCCTCAAGCCGGCCACGCCGCACGTCAAAACGCTGGGTGAGCTGCTCGCCACGCTGCGCTCGCACTTCAGCCCGGCGCCGTCCACGCTTATGGAGCGGTTCCGCTTCAACAACCGGAGCCGCCAGGACGGGGAGACCCTCGGGCAGTTCGTCGCTGCGCTACGAGGGTTAGCGAGCACCTGCGCCTTCGGCGACCAGTTGGACTCGCTACTCCGGGACCGGTTCGTCTGCGGCATCAACAACTCCGCCATGCAGACGAGACTCCTGGAGCTCCCCGACCCCTCGCTGGACGACGCGGTGAAGGCAGCGCTGGCGATGGAAGCAGCAGCGAAAGACGCCAGCGAGATAGCGCGTGCGGCCGGCTCACCGTCGACGGAAGCGGCGGTGAACAAGATGGCGACAAGGAGCGGTGCCTGCAGCCGCTGCGGTGCTGCCCACTCCCCCTCACAGTGCCAGTTTGTCCACGCACAATGTTTCACGTGCGGGAGAACTGGGCACCTCGCACGTGTCTGCCGAGGGGGGAGGACGAGCGGCGGCCAGCAGCAGCAGCAGCCTGGTTCAAGCCCGGGTTCCAACCAAGCCCGCGGCCAGGGTGGTCGTCGCAAGAGAACGCGGCGGGGACGAGCGGCACCAGGCCCGGGTCCGTCTTCAGCCAGGGTCCACGTCGTGGCCGAGGACCCGCAGATTTTCGACGTGTGGCAGACGAGTAAGCCTTCCTCGTCTGTGCCACCATACATGGTGTCGGTCGAAATCTGCGGCCACCCCATCACCATGGAGCTGGACACGGGGGCCAGCGTGTCGGTCATGCCCGGGAAGCTGTTCAAGCGGACCTTCCCCGGCGTGCCCATCGAGGCGTCTGACGTCATGCTGCGCAGCTACTCCGGGCAGCTATCCCAGGTCCAGGGTCGGGCCCAAGTCAGCGTTCGCCTTGGCGACAGGGAGGCAATCCTTCCCCTTTACCTAACCAAGGGGTCGTCGCCGACGCTGCTGGGCCGGAACTGGATTCACTCGCTGGGTGTTCGGCTGCCGGAGTACCAAGAAGCTGCACTGCACGTGGTGAAGGACGTCCCGAGCCTCCTGACCGACTTCCAGTCCCTGTTCCAGCCAGGGGTGGGCACCTTCGCCGGCACGACGGTCGGCATCCACGTACCCGAGGGAGCCCGGCCTCGGTTCTTCAAGCCGCG